TTTTTTGTACCAGGGATTGAATTCAGGACCTTGTGCTTGTGAGGCAGGCGCAGCACCACTAAGCTAAATCCCTGGCCTTTTTTTTCCCCCTTCCTTTCTTTTGGTGTGCTGGAGATTGAACCCAGGTGCACTGAGTTATATCCTCAGCCCTTTTATACTTTTTATCTTGAGACAGGGTCTCTCTAAATTAGCCAGGCTGGCTTTGAACTTTGATCCGCCATCAGTCCCCACAGTAGCTGGGATCATAGCGTGCAACACCACATCTGCCTTAAATATTTATTAAAAGGGATGAATGAAAATAGTGGTGCAGGGCCAGGGATTTAGCTCAGTGGTTTTGCCGCCTGCTGCACAAGTGCAAGGACCCGAGTTTGATCCCGGGTACCAAAACAAACAAACAAACAAAAATGAATGGAAAATAGTGGTGCATTCATTCATGTTCTTTGCTGAATTGTATCTCCCTATTGTATCTCATGTTGCAGTCCTGGTACCTCAGAATGTGACCCTATTTGGAGATAGAGCCTTTGATGAGGTAATTATGTAAAATGCAGTCATATAAGTGAGCCCTAACATAATATGATTTGTGTCCTTATAAGAAAATATTGACCCAGACAACATACAACCAAGGGGTGACCAACTGAGGACATAGTGAAAAGGCAACCATCTGCCAGGCAAGGAGAGAAACATTAGAAGTATTAGAAAACAACAGACACTTTGAAGCTTTCAGAACTCTGAGAAAATAAATCTCTGTCATTTAAGCCACCCAGTAGTATTTTGCTATGGCAACCCTAGAAAACTAGTACAACAATTTATTTTGCATTTACACAATTCAATGTATTACTGTACAGCAATATTATCATATAACAGCGGAAATGAGTCAACTACACGATTGAACAGCACAGTCACAAGCAAGAATGTAAGTTGCAGTAGAGTACATACCATGCAATTTGATGCATTTATGAGAAGGTAATAGCACACAATATTTATAAGGCATATGTATATATTCTGAATATCTAAAGAGGTACATGCCAGGGTAAATATCAAATTCAGGATAATGATTTCCACCAAGTATGGTGGAGCACAACTGTAATCTCAGCACTCTGGAAGACTGAGGCAAGAAAACTGCAAGTTTGAGCTCATTTTGGGCAATTTATCAAGGTCTCGTCTCAAAAATAATAAGAGATTTAGGGCCGGGGATTTAGCTCAGTGGTTCCTGTGCCTGCCTCGCAAGCACAAGGTCCCGAGTTCGATCCCCGGTACCAAAAAAAAAAAACCCAAACAAACAAAAAAAAAAGAGATTTAAAAAGTAGTGGGGATGTAGCTCATTGTGAAGGCCATGAGCTCAATCCCCAGTTAAGCCCCCTCTCCCAAAATAGTAGCTCCCTTTTGTCTTGAAGAAGGGAGATGCCATGGAAGAGATTACAAGAAACTTCTTTGTGTAGGTAAAGTATTCCTTCTTAGAAAGAGTGGTGGGAAAATGATTACATACTTCTTTATACCTTTTTGTGTGTATGAGCTAGTTCACTGTATCCTTTTTCAGAGTAGTTATAGTATCTGAGACCCCTGAAGTGGATCCTGATCTCCTGCTCAGTGCTACTATGCATGGTGAGAAGAAAGACATAGAGACAGAATTAAAGAGACAGATTGGGAATTGGGATGACCAGTACTTGAGCAAGCAAAGGGCCTGAAAGGCCAGAACTGCTGATATTTATTGGTGACACAATCATTGTTAAATTGGGGTAAAGGGGTTCTGTGAAAGGGGCTACATGTAGCTACTAGGAATATGTTGCTGACACAGGCAAAGCTTGTAAAAGGAAGAGACAAAGCATTCTTGTGTTAGGCTGGGAATGGAATTTGGATAAGACTAACTCTCACCTCAGCTGTATGTTATCTCATATGCTTGGTCAGACTCACTTCTTAAAATATGTCAATTGCAGGGTTAACTCTTTACAGCCTGCACTGCTTACAGCTTGCTTTGGACAAAATCAATGGGGCAGCTCCTCACATTGTAGACCAACAATATTGAGTTCTAATTCTTTTAAAACTGGAAAGGGATGGGTGAGGTACCACATGTCTGTGATCACAGCACTTGGGAGGCTGAGGCAGGAGGATCCCTGTGTTTGAGGCCAGTCTGGGCTACATAGTGAGTTCAAGGACAGCCTGAAGTACATAGCAAGACCCTGTCTCAATAAATAAATATATATGAAATATATAATATAAACATATAAAAATAAATATAAAAAATAAAACCAGAAGAGGCCATAGAAAAATTGTCTACTTCAGCCATTTTATTTTACAGATTGGGACTTGAAGACCGGAAGAACTGTAATGTTCTGGTTTCTAGAAACAGAAATAGCTAGACTAGAACCCAGATTTCCTGTTTATTCAATCAACCGTTTGTGAGTGTGATTCTAAAAGAAGGAAGTGGTGTTCACTAAGAAACAGTTATGAGTCTTTAAGCCAATTTTATTTTCTTTTTGGTAAAGTTACTTGACTGGTAGAAAAATGAAATACAATAGTTACTTTTTTTTGTACGGCAAGTCATTTGAATGAAGTCTAATGAAAACCTTAGGAAAGGCTGGAGAAAGGACAAATGCTGCCAGATGTTAACTACTTTAGGTGGATCATTGGTGGTTTAAGGACAACATTGGAAGATGAACAATTAATCACAAATCAATCTGAATCATGACAGAAAAAACTATATTCCTAACCATGTCCTATTCATTATATTTATCAAGGCTTCAAGGGGAGACAAATTAAATATGCTGATCAATATTTTGCAAAATGCAAAACTGAAAGAGCTAATGTCTCTTCATCCTCTAGGTGAGACTCTCTATACTTGATCAATCATTATACTTATCACATTCTTTTTTTTTTTTTTTTTTTCGGTACTGGGGATCGAACTCGGGTCCTTAAGCTTGCTCAGCAGGTGGCAAAACCACTAAACTAAATCCCTGGCCACTTATCACATTCTTTACCTGGTCAGTCTGACTCCCTCACTAGCCAAATTCCAGGCCTTATTCATTTTGGAATCCTTTAGGCTGATGCTTAGCATATAGCAGGTGATCAGCAAATTCTTGTTGATCTTATACTGAACTGAGAGAATCATAATTCTAAGACTTCAGGAAATAATAAGAAGGGACCTCTAGGTTAACCAGATACTATTAAAAGATGCAAAATAAAATTTTTTGAAAATCCCTTTAAAAAAATAGTTACACAAAAGGAGAGGAAAAATAGTTAACAGTGGTTCAGCTAAAAAAAGCTTCCTCTTCATTTGAGAGGTGGTTGCTGCCTTCAAGTTCATAGTGAGCAACTGTGAAAGGGGAAATTTCTTCAGTTCCTTTACACAACTTTGGATTCCTCGAGTTGTGTGGGAGGTTATGTTAGAAGTAGGGCAGGGTGCAATGTACCAACCAACCCATGTCATTGCCCTACTTTCTTTTGCTTAGGTCTGTATTTATCTCTGGGAGCTGTATTTTGAACAGGTGCTTGTTCAGAACACAGCGACCAACCTGGCTGGGGGCTCAACCATGTAGAAAAGGAAAGAAAAGAAAGAATGAAAGAAAGAGAGAAAACAAAGAAAGGATCAGGGTATTTTAAGCTTCAGAGAAACAAGAGAGAGTATTAGGGCTTGAAACTGGACGCTGTTTTAAAATAAGTGAACAAAGGGGGGGAATGGAATAAAATAAAATTTATTTCAAAAATAGACAACCCTCAAATAACGGAACAGTGTTCATATTGGAAATAATGGAGATTTATTTTATTTTCGAAAGTACAGAGCTAAAACTAAGAGAAACTGCAAAGGCAAAATATCCTCTGAGTCTTAGGATCGTCCTGAAAGAATGGAAACAAGGTATTTTAGGGGAAGTAATGCCATTTGGCAGCGGCAGAGGTTGAAGGCAGTCTGCCTTCGATTTTTCCTCGAGGCACTTCTGTAGCACTGGGAGAGATTAGAGGGCCTGGTGGTGATCCAGGTAAGCTCTGTCTCACTTCATACCTCTCCTTTAGCATTTACCACGTATCTATTCGTGAATGTACCAGTCTTATCGCCCCAGTTAGCGATAATATTTGGATTGCTTTTTCTCTCTCCGGCCAAACCCTGGAGAGTAGGGCGAATAAATTTCATTAAGGAACAAAAAGAATGGACAAAGAAGCATACACTTTTCCGAAAAGCGGAAGGCCGATTATACCCTTAGCTTTCTCCCCTGGTTTTCTACCTCCAATGACATTTCTGTAAACATCGCAAGACCCAGCGAGTTCCCCAAACGTTCCTTGGAGTCCTCCCTACTTCTCAGTCATTCAAATTCTACGACTCTCTCCCCGATAGCGGATCTACTCTATGGTACAGGGGTCCGTCTTTCTAGCTCTCCGGTCCTCCAGTTGTCCCATCTATGGTTTCCGGAGGCCTAACCGGAAGCTCTCGTGTACAAACGGGTTTGCCAGGCCGGAAGTTGCGCACTCAGTACTCGCCCTTTCAAAATGCCGCCGAAGCAGTAGGACCTGCGACTACCACCCCTCCCCCCGGGCTCCGAGGGGGAGCGCCTCCTGGAGCGGCCGTAAGGTGTGGCTCTAGGGTTTCGGCGGGGTCCCGGGGCGGGAGCGGGAGTTGGAGAGAGGGACAGGCTCCGGTCCCGCCAGTTCCGCGCCCGCCCGGAGCTGGGAGAGGGCTGGAGGAGCCTGAGGCGTGGTGGTGGCGGCGTGGGTCGGTCGCGCCCGGAGGAAGCAGGGCTGGAGGGGGAAGGGTTGTGAGACGAGGCCGCGGAAGATAAAGAGTGGAGTGAGGCCAGCAGTTTACAAACCCAAAATTGGAGCACAATTTGAGGGAAACCGATAAACTTCGGAGGAAGGGTGTGGGACAGAGGGAGTCGGCGAAAATGACATCAACGTGTCTTAAGGGTTAATAATTTTTAGGGCTGCAGACCGTTGCCTCATGTCAATGCTCTTTTGAGAAAAATTCGTTTTGAGTCCACACCTAGATCTCCTGAAACAGAATTATCTGGCGATGGGACTTAGGAGACAGGTATTTTAGCGCATGTCCCAATGATTCTTGTACACTTTAAAATTTGAAAGCCGCTTTTTTGGAAACAGGATCCTGCCCTGAAGTTTAGGCTGGCCTTGAACTCTTGGCGATCCTCCTGCCTCAGCCTTCCGAGTGCTGGGATTATAGGCACATGCCCCCATGCCCCAGCTTGAAAACCAATTTTAAAGCACCCCCACCCCCCACCCCCGCCATGGTGCTTCCCTTTTCCTTCATCAAGAAAGATCTCTGTTAGGAAGCTCCTCCAAGCCTCCAAGCCAAGTTACCACGTGGAACAGATGCCTGTCAGAGATACTTGGAACCTTTTGGTATTAAGAGTTACAACATCTCAGGGTTTAGTCCCTTTCTCATACATTCCTGATAGGAGAAGGTATTTTCGTTGAAAGGTATTTATTTCACAATATTCTGTTTTATCATACTGATCGAGATTGCAACTCTTGCTTAAGAAAGTGCAAAACACACAGGTGTGTTAAGGTAGCAGTCCAGCAGCCCCAACTTGTTCCCTCAGGCTGTTAACTGCTTGATTTTATATCCTGACTTATTCTACATATTGACATTTTATTTTGTATCTATTGTTCTTCACCTTAAATTTTCCAAATATTACGATGGACCACATTTCATAATCTATGTATATACTTTTTCCCAGAAACTTACATAATGTAAACTTACAGGATTGTGTTGCAGTTTTCTTTTTCTTTTTTTGGTACCGGGGATCAAACTCGGGTCCTGGCGCTTGCGCAGCAGGTGGCGAAACCACTGAGCTAAATGCTCGGCCCAGTGTGTTGCAGTTTTCTTTAACCTGTTCCTTGGTGTATTTTTAGCTTATTTCCAGGCTTCTTTTGCAAGTACTGCTGGAGTATACTTTTGCTACACATACCACCTTTTTACCTGTGTAGCAATCCTGGTAAGAACTGCAACATATGAATAGTAGTGTGTTGTATTTGTTACTGTTTTTGGTGTACTAGGGATTGAAACCAGCGTCTTTGCACTAAGGTACATCCCCAGCCCATTTTTAATTTTGAGACAGATTTTTGCTTAGTTGCTAATTGGCCCAGGCTGGGCTCAAACTTCTGCCTCAGCCTCTCAGAGTACTGGGATTGCAGGCCTGTGCCACCATACCCAGCTAGTATTTTTTTTTTTTTTTAATTTCTCATGTGTCCAGTTGAAAGAGTGTCAAAGAGTAATCAAGGTCTCTTAAGCTATTATGACTTGTTAAGAGTATAGGTTCTGGTGCCTTCTGGTTTTTTAGTCTTAAAATTATAGTTGTCTTCAAAAGTACAGATTGGAAGATGAAGCATAGGAGGGTGTTGAACTAAATGTAGGCTAAAAACCACTCTTTCATCATCACTGAGAGAATGAGGCTGTTCCTGCTGTCTCTGATTTCAGTCCAGTAGGGACACACACAAAGAACCTAAGTATGTTTTCTTTTGTTTTTTGCTGGGGATTGAACCTCATGTGCCAAGAATGCTCTTTACCACTGCCCACTGAACTATACCTCAGCTCCAAATAAATGTTTTTAATGAAGGTGCTCTGGTATAACAGCTTCCCTTGGAGAGTCAGAAAAGCCTTACTAAAAAAGTGACTTTTGACGTAGATAAAGATAAAATAAGTTAAGATTTTTTTGAGACATGGGAAAAGGAGAAAAGATAGGTGCTAAAGTAGTGGCTTTCAAATTTTAACCATGACCCCCAATGAAAAATAAATACATTAAAAAGTTCTTTTAAAGCTTTAATTGGTACATGTCTGTAGTACATAATGGTTAAATTCATCATGGGGAGCGGCCGCATGTACATAACAGAACTTCATTCTGCTTATGTCCCTCACCCTTCCCACCCTCCCTGCCCCCTCCATCTGTTGGTCCCCTTCCCATCTGCAAAAGATGTGTCTCCACATTTTACACTGTGACCTGTTACGTACGAGAGAGGTAGTGCTTAAGAGTTCCTGCTTCTGCAGCCTGAGTGCTTGGACTCCATGGCTTTGGGCAAGTTATGTACCTCTGTTTCAGTTCCCGATTCTGAAAATGGGCATGATACCACCTCACAGGATCTCTGTGAAGGGTAAATGAATTATTGTATGTAATGTGCTTTAAAGAGTGCTGCTCACTACTGTATAACAAACAGGTTCCACTGTACACAACTTTGTTGTGTCCTTTGTTTTCTGGTCTGTTCTCTTCTATTTTAGAGGCATGTTTAGGCCAATTGGAGTACAATTTGCAGTTTAAAAAGTTGGTGCTAAAAACACTGGGTGGTAAAGGGGCAAGGCAGATCCATGAAACTGCATTCATTTAGCATGGTGAGTGTTGAGTGGTGGAAGCAGAGACTGAAGAAGAGCTCCACTATGGATTAGAAAGGAAGTTGGAAATAATTGAGAAGGGTTATATACACACACCTGGTGAGGAAATTTCTGGAAATGGAGTGAGAAAAGGCCTTCCCTCCCTCATTTTAGGCTCTTTGGCTAGGCTGTAAGTTGACATAACAGAAACCTGATCTAATTATCTGCACATGGACAGAAACCCTACATAACATGAGACTCAAACAAGGGTCAGATATTAGAGCCGTGTGTATCCTGAGATACAGGAAAGGCATTAGGCTTGGGGCTTTTGGGGGGTGGTGACAACATGAGTTATGGGAGGATGGGGAAGGGATTTTATGGTGAACAAAAGTTGTCATATGCAAATAAAGTTTTTGGTAAGAAAAGATAGTTTTCTGATAGAGATTTCTTTCTTTTATTTTTAGTTTTAGTTTTGCTGTGCTGGGGATTGAACCTATGACTTTCACACTGAAGTACATTCCCAGCCCTTCTTATTTTTTGACAAGATGTTATTAAATGGCCCAGGTTGGGCTGCAACTTGTAATCTTTCTGCCTCAGCCTCTCAGAGTGCCAGAATTATAGTTGTGTGCAATCAGATTTCCTTTCTAGATGTGAATTTCTTTTACACAAGGACAACTTTTTAGAGCTACTCTAGTTTCTCAGAATAACCCAGTTCAAAATTTGCCAAAGAAATGAAGGGCACACAGTGAAAGCCTGTGGTCCTAGCTACTCTGGAAGGCTGAGGTGGGAGGGTTTCATAAGTCCTGGAGTTCAGGGCTGACAGTATAGTGAGACTGTCAGAGAAAAAAAAATTTGCCAAAAAAGCCCATTTTGGGGTGGTAACATTTTGGCCTCCTCCACTCCTATTTTGGGTAATGTGTCTTGAGTCTGAGCATTACTGAGTCAGCTGTCCAGGCCTATGCAGTGTGCACCTTTGCTTTTCAAATGCCCTGGGAAACTAGGGGAGTTTTGCCTGGTTTGGATACCTGTAGTTCTATTGCACTGTGGAATGGGGTGGGGGGATTGGTTTTTTTTCATCCTGATACTGTCGTGAAACAACACATCCTTGAGAGAGAAAATCCTTTTGGGGAGGCAGTACTGGGAATTAAACTCGGGCCTTTGTAGGTCAGCCATTCATCTATTTATTTTGTTTATTTTTTGAGACAAGATCTTGCTGTGTAGTTCAGGCTGGCCTTGAACTCATTTTGGAGCCTTGGCTGGCCTCAAACTCACAGTGATCCTCCTGCCTTAGCCTCCTGAGTGCTGGCATCACAAGAGTATGCCACCATACCTAGCTTGTTTAGTAGTTTATAAGTAGGCAGTCAGGGCAGCCTAGAATAGAGTTGGATAAAAGAAAAGAGCATACACATCGAGTTAAGAGCTAATTCAAGTCTCGTAGATAGTTAAACTTAGAAATGAAAACAGGAGGGTTTTTATACCAAGTGGAAAGGGACAACATCTTGCTTTGAATTCTTGCTTGGCAGCTGGCTTCAGTTTTACTTATGTCCTTGGTCAGTATCTTTGCTCATTCTTTGTAGTATTCTCTCATTTAAAAATCCTTCCACTCCTGTCTCTCCCTTCTCATTCCTCCCCTACCTGGGGATCAGAATTCATTTCTTCTGCTCTGAGTATCCATGGCCTTTAAATTACTCCCCCACCCCATTGTTAATGAAAGAAACCCATTCTGTGGCTTAAATTCTTCAGAGCTGCTAAGAGGCCAATCTACCCAGATGCTGAACTAGTGTGACCCCTCAGTCCCTTCCTCAAAATCATCCCTGGAGGAACCATCAAGGGAAAGTACTGTGAGAAAACAGATGGAGGTGGGGCTGGTTTGAACTGGTGGGAAGAGGACTGGCCAGAAACAAGTAGTTGTGGCTGTGAGAGAGTAAAACTGGGGGACAGGAACTGTTGGAATTCTGCTCTGATTCTTCCCTGCTTCCTTACCTTGGAATTACCTTTTTTTGCACCTCCGGTAGACACAGGCTTAGTTCCACTCTCCTTAAATGTAAATGAGGGCTTTACAGAAACCCATTTTTGGGAGGAGCTGAGAAAGTAACTGAAGTCTGTCAAATGGTGATTTACTTCAGACAGTCACTTCTGTTCCTTACTCTTAATCCTTGGGTCAAATCCCTGTTACAGTTCCTTCTCCTCCTGCTCCTTCTCCCCCATCCTCTTCCCTCCTCTTCCCCACTCTTCCTCTCCCTCCTCCCCTC